CCTTTTTGGTCGCGTAGGCTGAGCCTTTCGGCAGCACTGTGTTAAAGTACAGCGGAGGCCGAATTGCAGTACGGAGACTTTTTCAAGTTTTTTGTGCTCGAACACATTGACCCGGCCCCCTCCAGGACGGTACATCGAAAGCGCGGCCTGCTTGTATTATACGGCCTAAAGTTTTGCAGGAGGGGGCTCGTACTCGTGCTCTAACCACCGCATGTGCGTGGGTGGCTGGGGAGGGTACTGGTGGTTTAACTCCTAACCCCCCTCCCCCCTCCTGATCCCTCTGGGTCCCTAAGAAACTGAGAAAAAGGGAGGATAGTAGTTGTTGTTGTTGTTGTTGTTGTTGTTGTTGTTGTTGTTGTTTTTTGGTTGTTGTTAACAAAAGAAAAAACAGGTTTCCTCACCTCAGGTTCCTATAAAAAATTAGGCCCTAGGGGGAAAAAAAAAAAAAAAAAAAAAAAAAAAAAAAAAAAAAAAAAAAAAAAAAAAAAAAAAAAAAAAAAAAAAGCCCTAGACACTGTAGTAGACAGGTCAAGTCCTTCAAGTTAGGTGACGATGCCGCTGGAGTTATGGTGGTAATAACTGCTCAGCATGAACCTAGACAGTTTGACGACCAGGTTCTTGTTTTGTGATTCGACTCATGCACATATAACGTAAATGGGCCCTGGTTTTGGCCCTCATTCATCAAGCAAGGTAGCGAGCGAGACCCATGCTCATGTTATCTTCAAGCTGGCATGGTATTGCTTCAATCCAAGGGGCTAGAGTGAACTCTAAGGATCACACCCCAATGGTTCATGCGAGCAAAGCATGAACTTGCTGGCATTTACGACCAGGTTCATGTGTTTCAAGCATGAACCTATAGCACCAGTTCCTGGATCATTCTGGATTCAGGTCATGCACCCATAGTATTTCTTGAAATTTCTTCCTAAAGAAAAAAGGAAAAAAAAGTTCAGAAAAAAAAAATCATGGTTTCCTACAGCTGGGCTGTGGTTCCACTACCGTCTTCACGCACATAGTATACCCGGTCATTATCACCGTATCTAGACTCGAAATTGCCCCAAATACAGCCATAATGACCGTTGTTCTATTCGTGGGAATACAGTAGCACTGTGAGAATACGTACCTCCAGCACGGCATGACAACTCCAAGGTGGGGGTGACTTTTTTTCTTTTTTTTTTTGGAGAACACAAACTTTTTCCTTGGAGAACACTGGACACTGGAACTTCAAGGTGGGGGTGACAGATTATGGGCCCAGCGACACCACTCACACGAAACTGGGAGATAATTCGTGTGGTGTGTCGGCCATTTTCGCAGGTCTGAATTGTGTGAGTTTCCACCCTTTGACTTGCAGCAGTAACAAACGGACACACAGCAGTAACAAACGGACACACAGCAGTAACAAACAGACACGCAGCAGTAACAAACGGACACGCAGCAGTAACAAACGGACACACAGTGGTAACAAACGGACACACGGCAGTAACAAACAGACACACAGCAGTAACAAACGGACACACAGCAGTAACAAGATCACTCACACATAGTTGGAAATGCCTCACGAAATGAAAAGACAACAAAATTGGGGGCCCGACACCTCAAAAAACCCTAAACCCCAAACCTCAAACCCCGAACCTTAAGGATTAAACCCTAAGGCGAAAAACTTGGGGGTTCTCCAAGGGTCACGGAGGGAGGACTCACAGAAACGCGAGTGTTGCAGGCTGGGGTGGATATGCGTTTCGTGAGGTCTCATGACACGAACGCCTCATCTGACACCTCGTGTAATGGCACACCTCACCAAAAGACTGGTTTCGTGAGTGGTGGGGGGAGATCCTATGGCCGATGATGCATGCAGCGGTGGCCGGTAAGTAATGATTTTCCAATTTTGTTTTGTCGGCAAAAACACCCGCGGTAGATTTCCGTTGGGATTACGTGATTGGTCATTCCTGTTTTGTAATCGTTTTTCTTCTGTGGACAAATTTATGGCCCCCTCTCGTGCAGGGTTCGGTTACGTCATGGAACAGTTGGCATGCAGTGATGTGTTGCTCATCCCTGTGCGAACTCCTCGTCTTTCAAAAGGACTTCACAGATGAAACATCCGATCGCAAAATGTCTCTCTCTCTCTCTCTCTCTCTCTCTCTCTCTCTCTCTCTCTCTCTCTCTCTCTCTCTCTC